TTGAGCTCACCAGCTCCTCTGAGAAAAAGAAAGCCTATTTAAGACTCCCTTTTGTAAGATGACTGTTGTCATTTTTTCCATGTTGGCACTATTGCCATTTAGGGCATAATTCTTTGCTGTTGGGGTCTTCCCAGTGCGTTGTGGGATGTTTAGCAGCCAGCATCCATAGCCTGCACCCACCAGCCCTTCACTCAGTTCTGACAGCTAGAAACGTCTCCAGACATTGCCAGGTGTCTCCCTGGGGGAAAAATGCCCCTGTTGAGAACGGCTGGTATAAGTGAACCAGCTCTCCCAACCTCTTCCAGTTCTCACCCCCAGAATTTTAGCAGGGAGTGTCAGAATCTACTGCTGGAAGCACTTGGTAGGTCTCTCCTTTGATGGAGGACATGGTAGAGTGTCCAGTTCGGGATCTGACGCTCTGCAGTCAGTTGGAAAGAGAACACTGAAGGGTAATGTGGCAGCAGCTTTTGTATTAATTCCGTGTGCAAGGAAGGTGTAAATTTTGCTGCTTCTCTGTGCAAGACCCTCTCTGCCATCAGCCTGTTGTCTCTGGAAGCCAAGGAGCGAGTCTCAGTTTGTTTGTTTATTTTTTTGTTTGAGATGGAGTCTTGCTCTGTTACCCAGGCTGGAGTACAGTGGCGTGATCTCAGCTCACTGCAACCTCTGCTTCCCAGATTCAAGCGATTCTCCTGCCTCAGCCTCCTGAGTAGTTGGGATTACAGGCACACACCACCACGCCCGCCTAATGTTTTTGTATTTTTAGTAGAGACAGGGTTTCACCATGTTGGCCAGGCTGGTCTTGAACTCCTGACCTCATGATCCTCCCGCCTCGGCCTCCCAAAGTGCTGGGATTACCGGCATGAGCCAGCGCGCCTTGCTGAGTCTCAGTTTTAAAGGGGAACTTGGAAGCTTGTGGCTGCTGAACTCCGAAGAGCCTTCCATTTCCTGTTTGCAAGTGGAGCCCCCGGATCCAAGACATAGGGCTTGTGCCTCAGACCGTAAAAGTCTAAGCAAGACTAAACTCTGGAACAATCATGACTGGGTGAAAGCCCAGCTCATTTGCAATGGCAGCATCCGTGAGAGCACCCTGTAGAGCCTGAATGCTGTGGAAGCACTGGGTGTCATTCCCATCACTCACTCAGAAAGAGCCGGAGTGAAAAGTGAAACGTGCATCCTGCACGTGGAAATTGCCTTTCCCTGCCCGTGGAGTAACTTGTCTTTCAGGGCTAGATCTTGACAGGAGTCACACTGTGGTTGTGCTTGGAGTTGGCTCTTCCTTTAAACAGCTGTGGGGCCCCAACCGTGGAGGGCTGGCAGTCTTGTCTACTCCTAGGTGGCTTAGGTGACAATGACGATGGTGCAGGCCGATTGACTTGGAGAGAGGCTTGAAAAGAACTTTCACGGCCGGGCGCGGTGGCTCAAGCCTGTAATCCCAGCACTTTGGGAGGCCGAGGCGGGTGGATCACAAGGTCAAGAGATCGAGACCATCCTGGTCAACATGGTGAAACCCCGTCTCTAC